AAGATACTCAGAGTGGCATAAAATTAAGGTAGCAAGTACAGTAGTCTCCCCTTATCTGAGGTCTTGCTTTCTACGGTTTCAATTGTCTGCAGTCAACTGTGCTCTGAAAATATTAAATGAAAAATTTCAGAAATAATTCCCACATTTTAAATTGCAAGCTGCTCCGAGTAGCATGATGAAATCTCACACAGTCTCCCTCCACCTGCCTGGGATGTGAATCATCCCTTTGTCCAGTGTATCCACACTACATACACTACCTGCCCGTTAGTCACTTAGTGGCCATTTGGCTATCAGATTGACTCTCGGTGTTGCAGTGCTTGTGTTCAAGTAACCCTTATTTTACTTGATAATGACCCCAAAGCACAAATGTGGTAATGGCAATTTGTATATGCCAAAGAGAAGCCATAAAATGCTTCCTGTAAGTGAAAAAGTGAAAGTTCTGCCCTAATAAGGAAAAAAACTGTACAGTCATGTGCTTCATAATGACATTTCAGTTCAATGATGGACCACACATATGATGGTGGTCCCATCTATAATAATAAAAGTGTAATATGCTAATTAGACCAGATGGCCGAATGACCTTCTGGATGACATTCCAGACGAAGCTGGGGCTGTAAAGGCCGAGGCAAGCCAGGGCTGCGAGGGCTGAGCCCCTTGCACAAATATTGTGCATTAGGCCTCTAGTAAGATTATAATGGAACTGAAAAATTCCTATCACCTAGTGATGTCATAGCACAACACATTACTCATGTGTTTATACCAAGTGTAAACACTCCTACTGCACTGCCAGTCATATACAATTATGTACAGTACATAATACTTGATAATGATAATAAATGATCATGTTACTGGTTATGTACTTACTATACTATACTTTTTAATATTATTTTAGAATATGCTTTCTATTTATAAAAAATAGTTTACTGTTAAACAGTATGCCAAGTTACTCCAACAGCAGCCTCATAATCTCGTATTTACTGCATCTCTTGATTGCATCATTTTATCTTGTGCTTGATTTAATCTCATGTTGTTTTATAGATTCAGTGTAGCCCAAGGGTAAAGTGTTTATAAGTCACAGAAGTGTGTGAAACTACAAGTGCCTTCACAGTCACTCATCACTTACTCACTGACTCACCCAGAGCAATTTCCAGTCCTGCAAGCTCCATTCATGGTAATAGTGTACCATTTTTTATCTTTATAGCATATTTTTACTGTATCTTTTCTATGTTTAGATATGTTTAGATACAAATACTTAGCACTATATTACAACTGCCTAGAATGCTCAGTACAGTAACATGTTGTACATATAGCCTAGAAACAACAGGCTATACCATATATCCTAGGTATAGAATAGACTATATCACCTAGGTTTGTGTAAGTGCACTCTATGATGTTTGCACAACAACAAAATTACCTAATGACACTTTTCTCAGACTATGTCATTAAGCAGTGCCTAAATGTATGCTGAGGTTGCTAACATTTATGGTAAGAATGAATCTTCTATCCGTGAAACTGTACAGGAAAAAGCAATGTGTTCTAGTTTTGCTGTCACATCTCAAATTGCAAAAGTTAAGGACATAGTGTGTGATAAGCGCTTAGTTAAGCTGGAAAAGGCATTATATTTGTCGGTGGAAGACAAGAACAGAAAACGTGCTCTGATTGAGGGCAACATGCTGCATCAGAAAACAGTCTGTATGAAGACTTTAGCAAGGGATCCCTGAAACAAGGGACACCAAGACATTTATTGCAAGTAAGGTTTACTATACAGATAAGTAAACCTATTTGTTTTACTCTTGCTTAATCTTAACCATACAATTTATTGAAATGAAATCTAAGAGTATTAAGTGTGGTTAATAAGAAATCAAAGCATGTTAATACAAAAATGAAGAAACTGTGAGGATTTTTGAAGGGGGCTTCTTAACAGATTATAAATATGGATACCTGCATGATGAAATGCTACTCCCCATGGTACAGTTTTTTGTAATATAGAGTCCAGTCCTGAAGGCGAATGTTTCAGCTGATCAATCACTTCAAGGAGGCCCTTTTGTTCCAGTATCACTGGTGAAAGTTCAGATGATTTTAGCAATCCTGTTACACAAAAACATTATCAACACTGTTCACCTCTGTCTGGACTTCTTCGAGTGCTATCTGCTTAAGTCATTACAGAGCTAATCACAGGGGCAATGGTTCTGAAACTACTCCATATACTAATTAACTTGCCACCTTTTAAAAATCCTGATGACTGGCTCTCACCCCTGGATATTGTGATGTAATCACGTACAACCTGTACATGAGGAATTTTTAAATCTCTCCAGGTGATTCTAAAGTTCACCAACATTTAGGAAACACTGTATTACAGTGGGATCAGGCCCACAGGAGGGGACCAAAGAAACCAGCTGAAGGAAGGAGAGGATTATAGAGAACGACTACCACAGACAGCCTAAAAATCAAAGTCCTTGCTCAAAGTGTGACCCACCAACCAGTGGTGTCAGAATCACTTAGGAGCCTAATTCTATGTGACAATTTTTCTGGCCTCTTTGGCACCAATGAGATAATTAATCACATTACCTTCTGTTGTTGCCTCTGTGTAAACTTTTCCCCAGTGAAACCTTAACTTTCTGCAGAAACTGTTTTCTTACAGAGTTTCCCAGAGTTTTGGGTTTCTGAAGTAGTAAAACTTCTCATAAAATACATTCTTACTTTTTAAGTTCTTAGATTACCTTTTCTTAAAAATGTTGAGGACCCACAAAGAGTTGCCAAGATTTTATTATGCTGACAATTAAAATTTTTTAAAATTATCATTGATCAATATTTTTATTTCAAAAGTCACTTCAACATTTTTAAATGTTACTAGGGATAATTTCAGAATTTAAACTTTAGCTTCATGAAAAATGTGCAGCCTGTCTTTACTTTTCTGGGGTTTCATCAAGTCTAAGGCTCTAGTCCAAGCACTAGGATTTGGGAACCACTGCTATAAACCAAACTAAAAGAACCTCAAGCAAAGAAAATAAAAATTTTTCTGGTTATTAAGGAATATAAGTTACCATGGTACAACATAAGGAATATAAGTTGGCAGAGTACATAAAGTATCAATTAAGAAAGAACTAGAAAAGACAATATAATGTTGGACCAGAGCCTTCCCAATATAAACTTCAGGCAAAGTTTACCTGTTGGAACTTAGCTTGAGATATCTAATATCTAAAATATTCTAATATCCTATGACTAGAACTGGTCTCTGTCATTCTTACACTTATCTTGGACCTCAAGGGACCATAGGACAGTAAAATAAAAAATATATACTAGCCGAAACCGGTTTGGCTCAGTGGATAGAGCGTCGGCCTGCGGACTGAAAGGTCCCAGGTTCGATTCTGGTCAAGGGCATGTACCTGGGTTGCAGGCACATCCCCAGTGGGAGGTGTGCAGGAGGCAGCTGATCGATGTTTCTAACTCTCTATCTCTCTCTCTTCCTCTCTGTAAAAAATCAATAAAATATATTTTTTAAAAAATATATATATATACTAGTGGTTATAGCAATATACTCAGTAGTAAAAAAAAGAAATAAACTGATAAATGTAACAATCTAGATAAACCTTAAAAATATCTTGCTGAGTGAAAGAAGTCAGACACAAAAAAGACACATACCTACTATACAACTTCATTTATATGAAATTCTTACAAAGGGCACGACTAGTGTAGAATAACAGAAAGCAGATCAGTGGTTGCCTGGGGCTGGTGATAGAGGAAAATAATAAAAAAGCAAAAAAAAAAAATATTTAGGGTGATAAAAATGTTCTATATGTTGATTATAGTGGGTGTTAAACAGGTACATATGTGTTAACATTGATTAAATTATACACTTCAGCCCAGCCAGCATGGCTCGGTGATTCAATTAGTAACTTACCTTCAGCTTGATGGTGTAGATTGTAAAACTCATGGGCAATGATGTCTGCCAGCTTCTCACACCATTTCTTTGATGGACAGAAAAGTAATACTGAATGGTTTTCACGAATGGTCTCATAACATAAACTAACAACATGGTCCTCATCCCCCTAAGAAAAGAAAGAAATAGCCACTCTAGTGGTACTTTCAAAACATTTTCACATCAATTTAAAGTCATGCATTTTGCTTGTGGGGAATTGTTTTCTACTCAAAGGCATAATAAAAATCAGTTACAAAATCATTAACAAAACAAGAAGACGAAAAAAGAAATAAACCTCCTTATGATGCAAGGTGAGAAGGAAATAGTTTCTATTCACTTAGCTAATAGTTATTGACCTCCAACCCTCATTATACCCTCCAATGAGGATATAATGGTGAGCAAGAGAAAGTCAAAGTCCTATCTTCAAGGGGTTTAGGTTTCACTGGGGAAGCATTAAAGTACTAAACAAATAAATGTAAAATACACTCATAAAATGTATTATAAAAGCGTTTTATTGTGTTTTGAGGCCTCATATTTGACATAAATTTGACAGAAAGATCTAAAAGAAAGGTTTCCCTGAGAAAATGATGATTGAGCTGAGATGTGAAGGAGGGGAGGCATTAACTTAATCAAAGGTAAGTGAGGGACAGAGGAAACATTTCAGGCAGAACAAAGAATAGGTGAAAGCCCAGTGGTGACTCAGTGAGTTCTCAAAACTGGAAGGTCAGTGTGTATAATTGAATTAATTCATCCATCCACTCACTCACTAAACAAATATTTACTATATGCCTGATACTGATCTCAGCACTGGGGATGGAGAACAGAGAAGGGAAAAAAAAGCTCTGCCCTCAGAGTGTTTCTACTCCAATAAGAAGAGATAGATAATAACAAAAACAAGACAGGTAAAACACTTAGTATATTCAATTTTGAAAAGTGATAAGAAAAAAAATAATAAAACAGGGAAAATAGGGACCAGGAAGAGGAGGACACTGTAGTTGAGACAAGGTGGCTAGGGGGCCTACGAACATGACATTTGATTAAAGGTCCAAAGGTGAAGACTAAACTATACTGCTGCCTGGTGGGGAAAGCATTCCAGACGAAGAGAGCCTGAGGTGGGAGATTCTTGGCATATTATTGAACAGCAATGAGGCTATGGAGGGAGTCAGAAGAAATATAGATGAGATTAGAGCACTAAGAGGGTGGGGGCAGATAATGTGGGCCTTGTAGGCTACTATAAAGACATTCTAAATGGCTTTCATTCTTTTTTTTTTAATATATTTTATTGATTTTTTACAGAGAGGAAGGGAGAGGTATAGAGAGTTAGAAACATCAATGAGCGAGAAACATCAATCAGCTGCCTCCTGCACACCCCCTACTAAGGATGTGCCTGCAACCAAGGTTCATGCCCTTGACCAGAATCGAACCTGGGACCCTTGAGTCCGCAGGCTGTGCTCTATCCACTGAGCCAAACCGGTTAAGGCTAAATGGCTTTCATTCTAAATGAAACAGGGAACATCACAAATTTTTTAGCAGAATGCTTACATATTTGATGTTCATTTTATATAGATCACAGGCTCCTGGTTTAGGCATAGATAGAAGGGGACCAGGTGGAAGGAAGCAGAGAGCAATTAGGAGGCTATTTCAATAATTCAGGTAAGAGTTGAAAGTAATTCAAAAAGGGTAGAGGCATAGACATGGTAATAGAAGAAAAAGATTGACAGAGGAGTAAATGAATGTTTACATATATAATTATTGAAGTAACCAAGTCATAGTCAAGTGAAATTTATCATACAGAGCAAAGCAACTGAATAAGATTCCATATCGGGCATGCAGAGGCTACAAATGCATACCTATGAGGGTACTGACACATGAATTTAGTCCTGATCCCAGCTCTAAACTTACCCTTTGCTGGTTCAATAATCAGAGACACAGCTCTGCATAAAAATAGAAGATGCCTCATTTCACAGATGGTGAATCAGTTCTCTAACCCCAGGATTGAAGAATCAGGCTTTGCCTGGCCGGTGTCACTCAGTGGTTGAGTGTTGACCTGAGAACCAAGAGGTTACCAGTTCAATTCCCGATCAGGGCATATGCCCAGTAGGGGGTGTACAGGAGGCAACTGATAGATGAGGTTTCTATCCCTCTCCCTTCCCCTCTCTCTAAAAATCAATAGAAACATTTTTTTAAAGAAACAGGCTTTAAAAAACTACTGTGAATTAAAACTTTTTAAGTGTATTTAGAGGTGTGGGAAGGAATTTATCGAGCACTTTCTAGATGCTAGACAATTTTTAAAAATCCTATTTCATTCTTATACTAAAGTATTATCTCATTTTACACATGAAGACACTACATTCAGAGAGCTTTTGTGATTCAACTAATATCACAGCCGTATGAAGATCAATTAAGTAACAGAGGAAGGTCTGTCTGATGACAAAAATGATGTTTTTTTCCACTCTACTATATACTTAACCTACCCCTTAACAAAAATTTAATATTCGACATTAGTGTTTAGTACTGATGGTAGTGAAGTAAAAATACTGACTTACTTTCACTTGTAGCATGGGTTGAAATTCCCTCACAAGCTTCATTGAAGAATCATATATGGAATTTCCAATTTTTACTGACTCCATCAGTGGTACAGGACGAAAGTCGGTGTGGTAGAGTTCAGCATTCAACCAAGAAGCCACAAGCTCCAAATTCGGAAGAGTAGCACTCATGCCTACGATCTGTACAGCATAAGACAGAGGACTGGCTAAATCTGCTTGGCTGTGAAAAACAAATGAAATCAATGTCAAAAGATACATAGCATTAATTACAAATAGTGCTGCTAACAACATTTTTGGTCATGTCCCTTGGTGCCACATGCATACATTTCTTTAGGGTATATCTAGGAGCAAAATTACTGGGTCGTAGATGATCTTCAATTTTCTTAATGTCCAACTATTCTCCAAAGAGACAGTACCAACGTGTTAGCCATTTTGGAGAGTGCATGGCAATGTCTCTTTGAAGAGGTAATTTACATTCCTTTGATTGCTAATCAGATTAAGCAACATTTCATCTTT